CCAGGTGCAGGACCTTGCTCTTGGCCTTGTTAAACCTCATGAGGTTCACACAGGCCCACTTCTCGAGCTTGTCCAGGTCCCTCTGGATGGCATCCCGTCCCTCTGGCGTGTCGACCGCACCACTCAGCTTGGTGTCATCTGCAAACTTGCTGAGGGTGCACTCGATCCCACTGTCTATTTCAAATTGGAACAGGTTGCTCAGGATCTTGTCCAGCTGGGTTTTGAATATCTCCAAGGATGGAGACTCCTCAGCCACTCCGTGCGACCTGTTGCATTGTTCAATATCCCTTACATGAAATTACACTTAAACCCTTTTTTAGTGTATTTCAATTTGTGCCCATTGCCTCTTGTCCTGTCACAGGACACCAATGAGAAGAGCCTGGCTCTGTCTTCTTTATTCCCTCCCCTCAGGTAATTATCCACATTCATAAAATCCTCGTGAGCCTTCTCTTCTCCAGGCTTAACAGTCTCAGCTCTCAGCCTCTCCTTGTGTGAGAGATGCTCCAGTTCATCCATCAGCTTTGTGGCCCTTTCCCAAACTCTCTCCAGTATGTTCATGTGTCTGTTGTGCTGGGGAGCCAAGTGCTCCAAATGTGTCTCACCAGGGCCAAGCACAGGGAAGTATCACCTCCCTTGACCTGCTGGCGATCTGCTGTTGGCTGTCTTTTCTGCAAGGGTGCATGTGGCCGGCTCACGTTCCCCTTGTTCATGAAGACCCCCAGGGCTTTTTCTGCAAAGCTGCTTTCCAGGTGTCTGGCCCCAGTGTCTGCTGGTGCCTGGGGTGGTTTGTCCCCAGGGGCAGGACTTGGCGTTGCCCTTTAAGCTTCCTGAGATTGATGTGTTGGCTCATGTCTCCTGCCTGTCGGTGTCCCTGTGAATGGCAGCGCACCCCTCTGAGGTATCGACGACTTCTCCCAGTTTTGTGTTATCTGCAAACATGCTGAGGGTGAGCTCTGTCCCATCATCCACCTTCATTAATGAAGATGTTAAGCCGTCCTGGCCTGGGTATCGACCCCTGGGGTACACCAGTAAGGCCAGGTCTCCAGCTGGGCTTTGTGCCACTGGTCACAGCCCTTTGAGCCTGGCCATTGAGGCGATTTTCTGCTCTGAGGCCTGGGTTTCCCGAGAGCTGCTCTTGCTGGTAACAACAGAAGCAAAGGCGGCAGCGAGTACCTTGGCCTTTTCCATATCTCCTGTCAGCAGGTCCTCTGCCCCACTCAGCTGTGGAGCCCTAGTCTTCCTGCTGATGATACTTTTGCAAAAGCCTGTGAACAATTCTGGAGCATTCTTGATCCTCCTTCTTGCTTTGATCCTTTTTCCTCTTGGGATCCTATGCTCTACCATGCCATGTTCACTGCAGCTGTGGCTGCCCTGACCTTCACATCACTGCCCAGTTTTTCCACGTTTGTGATTATGCTGTTCAGCAGAGTGCCTGCCCTTGTTGGCTCCTCAGTAACCTCTCTCAAGAAGTTATACAATCAGTGCACTCCAAAAACCTCTGGGTTGCTTGTTCCCTGTTGTGTTGCCCTTCCAGGAGATAACAGGGTAGTTCATATTCTATGTGAGGACCAGGTGCCTGTAAATGTGAGGCTTCTTCAGTTGTATGAACAAGGTCTCATATTTCATCTTGATCAGGTGATGAGTAGCAGACACCTGCCACAATGTCACCCATGTTGGTCTGCCTTCTCATCCATGACCCATAAGCTCTCAGCTGTTTCATCGTCCACTACAGGGTAGAGCTCCATGCATCCCTGCTGCTCTCCCAAATAAAGGGCAGCTTTCCTTCCTCACCATCCCAGATTGACCTTAAAGAACCCCTATCCAGCCATGGCAGTAGTCTGGTGGTGTGAGCTATGCTGCTGTGTCTCAGTGATCCTGTTGAGATCATAGCCCTGCAACTGCACCCAGACCATTAATTCCTCCTGCTTGGTCGCCATGCTGCATGTTTGTTGATGTATGGGCACTTCAGAGAGGCACCCAGTCATGCTGATTTGCTAGAAAAGGTATTAGAGCTTCCCCCATCATGCTGTCCTGCAGGCAGTGCTTTATATATGTGCTTACATTTGAGGTGAGGCCCTGGTTAGCTCTGTTTTTTCTGTTTATGAGGTCTCTCTTGCCTACATCACTCTGTACCTTTTGCTTGCCAACCTGGTCTGCCACTTCCTCACTTAGCTGTGGGTTGTCATTTACCTCCCCTGATGTTGCTGGTATCCTTCTTGTGGAGCTGCCCCAACCCTCTACCTGCCAGGAGAAGCCTTTTAGTGCAGCTACTGCTGCTGCATTGTACCTCCTAGGTGTTTACAGCTACTACTACTGTTTTCTCCAGAAATTAAATCTAGCCCTCTGCAGCTTATAATTCCTTAGCCTGTCCTTATTCCCCTCAGTAAGCACTGTTCTTGTATACTTTGTGCAGATTTGCATATCTTCCTGGGATTGTGAGAGGAGATTGCCTTAGCTGTTTCCCCATGGTTTCACCTGACAAGGTCATTTATGTAATGATAGTGTTAGTGATGGGGGTGGAAATCTCTGGCTGCTTATGCTATTATTTTGTGTTAACATCAACAAGCCCATACTTGGGTATCAGTACCTCATAACTAATTTTAAACTGGCAAAGCAAAACTTAATGGGATATCTCACATGACCAAACATTTCATCAAGTAAGTTAATTTTTTCCTCGGATGAATATTTAATTTTGTCATTGTTTGAAATCCATGGTCACATTTTGAATAAGCTAATGTGTATTGTTGAATAGTTTACCTATGCCTAGGGTATTCTCCACAGCATGCTCTTTTAACTTTTAATAGTTTTTTATCTTAATGGTATGTTGCTCTTTGTTTCAGAATAAGCCGTTCCAAAGGACAGTTGTTTTTAAAGTTTTTTCTCAAAAATTAAGAGAAATTGGAAATTAATTTCAAAAGCCACTCTGCATCTTTTGTGTTAAAGTCTTAGTACTGATGGTCTTGCTCTGTCTGAGATTGTGCAGGATGTTGGGCAGGGGAATCCATCTCAGGCTACATGCTGAGGCAGCAGGCTCATTGTCTTGCAGTTGCCACGGTGGGGGAGGATTGGAAGGTTTTCCATCAGCCTTTATTTCAGTGACCTTTTCCAAGTTAGGAATAGCAGTTGACTAGGAAAAACCTAAACAGTCATTTCTCTTCAGTGAGTCCATACGGTTTTCTCTTGAGTTCTGTGAGCTGAAAAATAAATTGAAATTGAGAGGGTAATATTTTCTGTTTTCAAAATGCCATTTCTCCAAATCTTTGACTTATTGAGCTTCCCACACAATACATACTTGGAATTTATTAAACTGCTGTATGTGAGGACTCCCATGCTTAATGCTTCCAGCAGCTTGCATGTGAGGTAGAATAAAAGTTCAAAGTAATGTTAGCATGTGAAATGTTAGCAAGTAAAAAGCATGATAAGATTCTTTAAATATTCACAGGGACCTAATTTTCATCATCTGCTTAATGCAGTGACTACATAGTTTTCACAAACTGTGTTTGCTTATTCTTGCAGGCTGAAGGTTTTGGAACGGATGTTGGAAGATGTTAGCTGTGGATACGGGGGTTGTGGAGGAGTGGTTATCAGAGTTCAAGGTAATATACTCTCAGATGTTTAGCCAGTAGTGTTTGAATCACTGCTGGAGCAGTATGCAAGAGTGCTTGATTGCTGTAGAAAATGAAGAAAAATAGTAACTTTGGATTTTACTGAGAGAATGTGAGATAGATATATATATATCTATATATATAATCTTATATATTTAAAAAAAAAAAATGTCTGAAAGGATTTTTTTTTTCCTTGTCCTCTTTGGGATTACATACTTCCTGATACAGAGCAGTGAAAATGTATATCACAGGTGAATGGTCTTGTTGGTTTGAGTATGGACTAGGCTTGACTATAGGTTTTGCTCCTTTCACAGTGAAATTTCAGTGGGGTTGCACCCGTGGAACTCTTGTTTTCTATCTGTTTCCCATCCACTGTCATTACATTCTGTATGAAACTGTCTGCAAAATGATAAAATGCAGTGTGTCTTCTGGCAATTTTGTTGTCCTGAAAACATGGTGATTTCTGTAGTAAGGATTTCTTTGTGAAACAAGTTTTAGTTTATAGTAAACTCTGACAAATAGTAACTTGTAATGGAAAATTGTTGTTGAAATAGCTGTTATATTTTAATGACAAAAATTGCTTTTTCTAGTAGTTACAATATTTTCATTTCAGACACTGCCAGAAGCATCCATATCCAGCTATGCTACAAACTTGAAGGACAAGACTGCTTTGATTTCATCTCTTTACAAAGTAATTCAGGAGCCACAGAGTGAAGTGAGTATATCGGATCTCTCACACAAAATGTCTGACATAACACCAGCAGAATAAAATAAGACCTTGTGTGCTACTTAATTGTGTTCTAACTACGTGAACTACAGAACTGCATGAAGAGTCTCTGTCAAAATGTTTGTTCTTAGCAATGACATACTACCATGGAAACAATTCATAAGTTTTGTAACCTACTGATCATAGCTAAGCTTGTGGATCATACTCATGGGCTTCAGGACTTGGGTATAGAATTGAGAAATATGTTAAGGAATTGAAAAGATGTTTGAGACTGACAGAATTCTTTCTGTAATTCAGTATCACTTCAATGTGAATCTATAGCTGTCAGAAGCTTGTCTATTACAACCCAAGAGAACCATGTTAGATAGGTTTGCAATCCTTTTAAGTTACTGTTTAGGTTTTAGGTTTTTTGTTGTGGTTTAAATACATACAATACAAATATATGCATTTATGCAGTGGATGTACCCTTGCTTGAAATGATGGCAAAAAAAGAAAAAAATCAGGGGGAAGGGGGCAGTTTTGCCCTGTACCTGTGCCAGGAATGGTTCCATACCCCATGACTGCGCTTGTTTTAAAGTGTCCAGGTGAATTCAGAACATGCTGAGCTGGTTTTAGTTGTGTCTTGTTAACTGTATTGTCTCACTTTCTACCATCCAGCAAACCTTGTGTGTATTATTGTAAAATTGCACCAGGTCCTTAATTCCTCTTCTGAAAAGACCCAGCATAAGGAACCTTTCCAAAGTTTGAGATGATGCCAGTAGCGGTCAGAGGATAAAATGCTTTCAGTATATGCATTTTTAGAGAGAATGCTGATTGAGAAACCGCCAGGTTGTCCAGCAAAGAAGAAATGTAATTTTACTTCGCTGCTCAGAAAGGCATTCTGAGTCATTCCATCTACTGAGTCAAGCCTGTCTGGTCTTCAGAATGTGTATCAACGTGTAAATTAATCTGATGAGTCTCCCTGTTGATAGCCAAATTGATACTTTCACATGTTCTTTGATTTCTTACTACTTCTGGCTATCACTAGTTTTCTCAGGGACCTTAGTAGCAGGGTGGCCAAGGCCCTGCAAATTCTGCTCGAAAAGGTTGTTGGGATAATTCTGGGGGCAAGGTATTAAAGCGTTCCCTGTTAGTGAGACTTTGAATTGAAATGAAAAGCCAGTGCTGACAGTGAGTGTTGTGCTGCCTTGGGAGAACAGTGCTAAAATCTTTATTTGGACTGTTCTCCGAGTACCTGTCACTTTGTGGAAAGGGCCACTTGGAGCTTTCCACGTTGTGAAAATACTTATAAACTAGCAGTTAAAAAGACAAATAGTATCTTTCAACTGTTATTTGAGATCTATTAGCTGCATTGTGTAATGACAACTTGCTTTACAGTGTAGGATGTGTGCTGTCCTTATCTCATGTATGTAATGCGGAGGGGAAGGATTAATGCGTGAACACTACAAATAACTGCTGAGATTAAAAACAAACAACCCCATCTGTATATCTTTGAATATATGTACTTTTAATATAATAATTGTCTGTACCTTAAAATTGTGATTAATCTTGTTTTGGGGGATGGATGTGTTCTTTTTTAAGCCTTTGAAAGTAATCATGTGTATTTGCATCTGTGACTGCATTTTCCTGCTGGTTCACGTTTGCTTTTCATATGGGTTTTTTTTGTTTGCTTTTCTAAAAAATTAATAATGAATTTGTGAGATAAATTAACTACTTTTTTGCTATAGCAAAGAAATAGCCAATTCATAGTAGCTTTGTTAGTAAAGACTGTTAGTTACTTTTGAGGTTTCTGGGCCACTGATAGGTGAAAAATGTAATTCAATACAAGGAGAGTCTCCAGTAGATGTGAAGATTTAAAGGACTTTTAATTGACTTGAGTCCAACGGTAAAAAAAAAAAATAAAATTGAGGTTTGTTTCTTCACAAATTCAAGATTTTTTTGCTTTCTACCTAAAACACTATTGCTGTCCTTTTAGATAGTAGCCATGCAGGTATTTGTGTTAGGAAATAGAAAGTGTTTGGAATGTCTAATGCATTTGGATGCAGCTTAAAAGGAAGAAGGATGAAATTGCTTGGACATTCTTCTGTTCCAACATTAAAAATTGTTTCAGTCTAGATAACTTTTAGAACTGTTTTAGTGTAAAACAGTATCTTGAAGCAGCAACAATCATTGGTGTGTTTTGATATCAGGTTGTAGCATGTGGTGGCATTTTGAGGAAGAAAATCTGTTTTTGTACTGATTACGCATTTAAATGTGCTGATATAAAGCTGTCTCAACTGAGATAATGATGTGAACGTGGATACCTGTCATAGCTATTTATGTGCCTTTTAAAGTTCAAACACATCATTCTGAACTGATAGTTCATTAAAGGAAGCATGCAAATTGTGTGAAATATGTAAGCTGAAGATGGAAAGCACTTGTGCTGTTAAAGTTCTCTAGAAGGATCTTTGATATTTTGCTCTTAAAACTGATGACTAGTTTAGCTTGGCATGATTTTTTTTTGCCTTTGCTGTAGATTTTTCACAGGTGATTTTTCCAAAGAGAAGGTATATCTGTCAGAAGCTAAAAGTTCCTCTTTTTTTGAATGGATCAGATTGTCTCAAATTACTTCTTAAAAAGAACCAAAACATGCTAAGATCCTTTGGGTTCAGAAGTAACTTTGGGAGGTAAGAAATGTTGATGCAACTTTCTTTGTATTCAGGAGGAAAAACTTTGGAAAGCAAGCAGATTTTTTTTCTAGTATGCTGTTCTGTTGGTGTTACCTCCTTTGCTGCAGTAAAGGGAGGAAAATATAGAAGAACAGGTTTCTTACCTTTTTGAAAGCTTGCTCCATTGAAAAACTGAAGGTGTGACCTAGACAAATAGCAGAAGAACTGAGTGTTGTAGTTAGAATAAAATGGAAAATGTGATCTGCATGTTACTAGCAGTAAAGTACATATCTATATTCCAGTTTTTAAGGATTTTCAGAAAGGTGTTGAGTAATACTTTGCTTTCTGAACTGAAGTGCAGTGGCAATTCTAACAATTATGGTATCTCTTCTCAGTGCAATCTCTAAAATATTCTAAAGTGCATGTCTGGCTTGGCTTCCATTATTTTCAGGTTGAAACTTTTGGGGATTTTGAGCAGGAATACATTTCGGTGAAGGTCTATTACTAGCCTGAACATTCCTGGCTTTGAAATGAATTTAGAGTCTATTTCTGTGAGTCATGTAGAAGAACTGTTAAGACATTAAATCTTGGAGGTAAGAAACAAGGTAGCAAAACTAGTCCTTTAGGTATGTTACATTTGAATCCTGTCTTTGAGATTTGCAATTGGAGAATATCACATTTTATGTAATGCTTTTTAATATACTGGCTGGAGCTGATAAAATGAATTCTAAATAGCTGGAATCTCAGATTTCATTTTGTAAAGTTCGCTAATATAAATGCATCAACTGCCTAGATTCTTTTTCAGGGAGTAGTTTCTTAGATGATAGGGCCTCCTATTTGTTATTACTTGCAAATAAATGATTTAGAAAATTGAATTAAAAATCCCCTTTTTCCCTTCCCTACCCCACTCTTTTTTTCTTTTTTTAGAAGAAATCTTTTTACAGTTCCAAACTCTTATTGATGGTTTGCTTTGTTTGCTGCCAAAAAGTATTTTTGAGTATGTGCTTTTGAATTTTTGCTTCAGAGTTCAGTGTCCAGTTCAGATGGCTCTGTGAAAGTGCTTACTGGTTTTGACAGTATTTTCCACTTGGATTAGGAAATCTCCTATCTAGGTGACAAAATAAAAATAACTTCCATACATTGACACATGATGGTTAACACTACGTTTCATCCTCTAGCGGAGGTAGGTGGTAGCAAAAGAATGCGCGTTAAATCCAGAAACACAGTGCAAGCTGATTGCTTCATGGTTTTTAAGTCTTTTTTTTAACTTGTTCTAGCTCAATCTATTACTTCCAGTTCAATATATTACTTCCATTTATATCAGCTTAACAAATTTGATTGTAAAATCACTCTTGAGGCTTCCCATTTCTGTGTCAAACCTATAAATACATTGAAGTTTCTGGAAGATTTTAATGAGAGTGGAAAAGTGAACTAATTCTGCTGTATACTAAGTTATTGTAATACTTTGAGTGTTATGCAGCTCTTCTCACTTGGCGGGTAAAAGCTCCTAGCAATTTGTGTGCACACTGTTGGAGCTCTAGAATAGCAAGACGTTTTGTTCAGATACTTTTCCTGTATATTGGAGATATTGAGGGCGTGGTATGAGGTGTGATGATAACAAGTATCCTCTTTATATGCCTTTGAGGCTGGAGGAAGTGAGCCAAAAATGAGAGAAAGGAGCCACTGGAATTCTTTCTTCACATGGGATGGAAGGCTCTACTTTTATCATCTGCAAGTATGTTATACGGGATGAAAAGTGTATAAGGTGACTTGGGCAGTTATTGCATCAGTCACTCCCTAATAGCTAAAATGTAACATTTATCAGTTTACAGTTTTGTCCAAAGGATTGATCCACACAAAGTTGCAGTTCCTTGTAATGTTTTATTCATTCACAATATAATTTATATTTCAGCTTCTGGAGCCAGTTTGCCATCAGCTCTTTGAGTTCTATCGCAGTGGCGAGGAACAATTGCTACGATTTACGCTGCAGTTTCTACCGGAATTGATGTGGTGCTATCTTGCTGTCTCAGCAAGCAGAGATTTGCAGAGCAGTGGATGCATAGAGGCTCTTCTCCTAGGAGTTTATAACTTGGTTTGTATTCGTGTGTAATTATTCAGGCCTAAAAATATTAGTGTGCTTTTGGGGGATACTATAGAGTATTTTACTGGGGAATAATTAACAATTTTGTTTCAGAATTGAAATGAAGTGATTGATCATCTCGGTTTTGACTCTTCAAATTGGTGTCCATGTCGAAATCTGCAACATGAACTTTTATTCTTCTATTTTGGTGAATATTTTCTCTGCTGCCCTTGTGGTTCCTGGAAAGTGTTAATGCACTAATGACTGAAGGAGCCAAAGGAGTCCTCTTAATTTTTTTGTTACTTAATTCTTGGTATGGTGATTAAGCTTACATTCTGCTTGAGAGCTTTTAGAGGTGCTACTTTTGAAGTGGTTGCCCGTATTTTCTGGGGTATTCTGACTATCCTGACTAAAAACCACAAAAAATCACTTTCAACAAATTCTTAGTACTCGACTGCTTAATGGATTGCTTAGCTTTGATAAATTAAAGGCCTCCTTTCATTTTGTAATAACCTTGACTTTTTTCATATTTTGTATGAAAAGATACTCCTTGTTACTAAATTACTTCTTTGAAGAACAGAATTACGAAGGAACCTTTAAGAGCACCATATTTTAGTTATGCATTTAGTCTTTTTATGGCTATTATAAAAAGCTTAGTGTTATTATGTCCATTGGGATTCTCTTCAGTGTAGTTTGTATGTTCTGGATGTTTTTGGGAAGTGAAAAAGTCATGAACTTTAAGTCTCCTCTTCCCATTCTGAAAATGTGGAGAAGGCAGCTCCCATCCTTCTTTTAAAAATAATCTCAAGTGTCTTTACCGAGTGAGTGAAAACATTTTTTTCACCCAGGAGTCTACTCAAAGACTTCAGCCCTTATATTCAACTCTTCTTTAGGCAGAGTACAGGCTTCATCTGTTTTCTGTGTGCTTAGTTGTATCTGAGAAGAAAAACATTTCTGGAAAGCATTTGGTGTATTTTTATGCCTTAAGTCAATTCACTCCTTTATTTCCATGATGAAATCATCTAAAATGGTTGACGGATGTGGCTATAATCACTTGTCTTTCTCCTAGAAGAGATTACATTTACAGTTAAGCTTGAAACCAATCCAGTAATGTCTTCTCTTAGCTATGAACAGTTTCTTCCTCAATTAGTAACATAGCCATCCATCTCCAGCTGCTTGGGGTCATAAGAATTTTACAGCAAGCTTCTGTAGGAAGCTGTAGATCAACCTGATTTTTGGAAACTTTTTTTCCCCCCCCTTCTGCTTTAAGGCATAATGAATACTTATGCTAAAGTAATGCCGTGCTACTGATGCTGACTTCTTCCCCTCTGTGGATGTCATATAAAATTTGTAACTTAAATAATCAAGATGGTATTGTTCTTCAGTATACAAGAAAGGTTGAAAAGGTAGTAGGTGGCCTGCTTAGATACTTATTTTCTCTTTAACCAGCTACTTTGTTTTCAAAAGCAAGAGGAAAGATGTAGCCTGATACAAATAGTAATCCTTCTGTAATTATGGAGGATGGTCTCTTGGAACTTGAGGGAATTTGCAGGACTCTGTTGAGCATGTTGTTTCTTACTGAAGGAAATTGAAAAATTAAGTATTGCTCAGAATAATTTTAAATTCACTACATTGTCAGGGGTACGGAATTATTGTGGCTGAACCTTGAGATCATGAACTGGTTTGTTCTACCTTCAGCTTGGAGACATACTGTGGTAGTGCATGCAGTTGATATTTTTGGCTTTCCTGGCTGTAGGTATCAGTTTTTTCTAATATTCTCCAGATCTTGAAATGCACTCCTGAAACTTAATTACAAATCTGATTGGAATGAAGAGGCAAAATATTGATATTTTTAGACTTTAAAAGTTTGGATCTAGCCACTTCTCTTCCCTTCTCCTTCCATATATTGAGGAAACTGTTTTCCACATTGATACAGAAGCAATATTGAAAATTGAAGTATCAGTGGGTTATGTGGAGAGTGGAGGAGCTGTATAACTCTTCAGACAGATATGCCCTTGTGATACTTCTCAGTCTTCCTTTATCACTTCATATTGTACTTTAAGACATGAGTTTTAATAATTACTATGTGAAGTTAGTCCTTCAGCCTTCCAAGGAATGGGTTTTAGGTGACACTGAAGCTCTTCTCTAATCTCTACCTTTGGATATATGAAACCTGCTGCTGAAATTTTTTTTGGAGGGGGGGGCAGTTCTTGTGTGTGTGGTGTTGGTCATTGGTCAGGTCTGCTTTGGAACTTCTGAAGTTTTTTATTTGAAGTACTTCAGTGCTCTTCTGTGATACGTAGGCACATCTTTTTTTGCCTTACCCATTAGTCTTCCGCTAACTTACAGGAGTGAGAAGTCTGCCAACATACTGCTATAGTGGTATCCTGCAGGAAAGTAGCTTCTCTAAAGCTTTGCATCCATGCTTCTCTAAAGCTTTGCATCCATGCTTCTTTTAACTCTCTCGAAGTATGGAATTATCAAACTTGGACTTTTGCAAATACTGTGATGTCTGCTACTATCAAACCATATGAGGCTGCAATCATTCCAGAGCTATAATATTTCCGAAACAAATTACCTGTAGAGTCATTACTTGATGGGTAAATAGTTTTCAGAACAGAATTATTGAGCATTAACCTTCACAATTAGCAAATAGTGTAAAATTAAAAAAAAACAACACTGTTTAAACATATTGAGATTTCCAGTTAGTGTTTTTAAGGTGGACTATGTATCAAATGCATGTGCCCTTTGCTAAGTCATTTGAATAGTTTTCAGAAACAAAGCAAATGCACTGTGATAGAAAGTAAACACAGAGAGAATTTCTAGCTTGTAGCTGGGATTGTTAATAGTATCCCTCTCTGTCCCTATAATAATTTGTTGGCTTGCTTTATCCATTCACCCCCACCCAGCATTTAACATTTTTGAATGTCTGGTTTCTGTAGTACAGTGTAAACATTGGTATCTTCTGTCTTTTTCAGGAGATAGTTGACAAAGAGGGACATAGCAAAGTGCTGAGTTTCACAATTCCGTCTTTGTCCAAACCTTCAGTCTATCATGAAGTAAGTGACATCTACAACATAAAGTTGTTACTGATCAAGAAAGGCAGTATGCTTTGGGGGCCTGTTTGTTAAGAATAAAAGCGAAAAGTAGTTTTAACGTGTTGCGTGATGACATAGGAACATATTTCTCAGCCTTTTGAGTACCACTAACTGGTCTCTGAGGCCTCTTCAAGACTGAATAGTCATAACTCCATAATATCCATGCACCAACTATGTCTTTTTTTTTCATTCTGAAGCCTTATCTGGTGTAAAATAACTTCTCAAATCTAAGGCAGCTTAGCAGTCAGATAACCTTAAGCCTGTTGAAATACAGTGTTATTTAAGTGTTGAAACAGCACTGTACAAATACAGTGATGCTGATCATTGTCTATTTTCACTTGCATTGTAGTAAGACTTCAGGTGGACATGTTTTGAATGACCCTTTTTCCTTTAGCCTTCCAGCATTGGCTCCATGGCTCTTACTGAAGGAGCTTTATCACAGCATGGTTTGTCCAGGGTTGTATACAGCGGACCTCATCCTCAGAGGGAGATGTTAACAGCACAGAACAGGTGAAATTGTATAATAGGATTTTGCTTGAGAATCACTAATGAATCTTAACTTCTTATAATTTTTAATATAGTTACAGACTGAAGGTGGATGGGCATATGCTCTGTTTTGTGGTGGGTTTTTTTTGCTTTTAAACACGTGTAAATGTAGATGCAGAAAGACTAGCAGTGCATATTACTACATGAAGAGGAAAAGCTTACAGAACCAAACTACTCAACTGTCAATTTTACTGAAATGAAATACCAAATCTGTTCAAACAACTCTTGCAAATTTCAGTGTAAACTTGTTTTCTTTTAAAAAATAAAATTGGTAATGTAATTCTAATGTTTCTTGTAAATCCCAGGTTTGAAGTGCTGACTTTCCTTCTGCTCTGTTACAATGCTGCCTTAAGCTACATGCCTGCAGTTTCTCTTCAGTCGTTGTGTCAAATTTGTTCAAGGTAACTTCTGTAGGTTGATTACACTTAAAATGGCATTTTCAACTTGAAATGCAATCAGTTTGATTTTTTTTTTTTTTTAAAAGCTTCGGGTTCTGAAAAGCTGCTTGTAAACTTGACTTTTTTCATAAGTGTTTATAGCTGCATTATTTGCTTTTAAAGTATCTCTTATGTAACTTTGGGTTGAGATCTCAAAAGGGGGAAGCAATGACCTGACTTATATGCAGTGCTGTTAAGTGGAGAAGTCAAATCAAGGGAACGGTTTGTTTTTAATCAAAGTAGTTGTAGGTGTGTTAACTAAATAAAATCAGAAATGTCTTCTAAAATATTGGTAAATTTTGTATTGCAAGCTTACTTAATATGTTTGGATGCTGTACAAGTTGAAACTTTCTTGAAATTATAGTAGATCTTGAAACTAGAAATACATCCATTCTTATGGATACTTTGGGTATTTCCAAAACCTGCTGTTACTTCAAAAAACAAAACAAAATGCAAAAAACCCATCTCAGCTTTAATTACAGTGTCTATTTTTGATCCATTTCTTTTTTCAAAGAGGAAGAACTGGTAGTAAACATGTCTATCTCTAGATTTTTGAAAGTGGACTTTGGGTTAAGGAAAAAAACAGAATGCTCTTGTTAACCCAGGAAACCCAAGAGAGACCTAGAAGTAACTACAGCAACTTTTTACCAGTCATAGTTCCCAGGTTCCTCACACAAACAAAACATGGTAATGGATGCCTGTAAGATCCTCTACTCTTCAGAGGAGGTGAGAGAGCATTGGAGCACTTGGCAATATTTACAAGAGTCTTTACAAGATCTTTGTTAGATATGCTGGTCTAAAATTTAAGGTATAAAATATTTAGAAGCTAAGGATTGTGGACAGGAGACTGATGTTGCTTATTCTACTTGATTAGGTTTTGATTGTATTTGGGATAAATAATTTTTAAAAAGCCTCCAAAAAAGCCCCAAGCAAATTACCAGTAGGTGCAAGCAAGTCTTTCTACTTCAAAGTGTTGAATGTTTGGATACTGAATTATTTGATACTATACAATTTGACTTTTATCTTAGTTCTTCGTTCCCTACTGGTTTTGGCATCCATGTTTCTCTCCTTACTGAAAATCTCGCTCTGACAGCATTTTAGGGGTTCAAGGGAGTATGTGTCAGAAGACCAGAATATCTTTCAGTATCCTGTTTGGATGTGGTGCTGACAAAATTCTCAGAAGAATCTATAGAATAACTCCTTCAATTGGTTTGAGCAGTGTTGAATTTAGGTTTCTTTTGGAAGATCTGTATGAAAGCAATCTACAATGAATATGCTTTCTTCTAGTAAGTCTAATTCAATTTTTATGACTTTTCTAAAGAAGCAAAAGCTTCTAGTACTTCTTACTTACAAACATGAACTGTAAATGTGACAATTGCAGCACAAAATATTTTGTGCTGATCTCAAGTGTTGTAAATCCAGATTTTTTGCATTTAGGCATCTTCAGTTACTAAGTCTCTTTTCATAAGAATATTATCTTACTCTGATGTAAAGCGAAGCAGTTCTGCTGATGTCATTCTAGCCTTTTTGAGAGGAAGTAACTCAGATTAGAGCAGGGCTCTTTAAAACTAGTCAATACTGGCATTAATAGAGTGTCTGTATTAGGGTCTTTTCTATATAACTGTCACTGTTAACTGATCACATTCCTAGTGTAAGTTCGCTATTTTCCCCCCAAAATACTTACTGTATCCCTATACAGCAGCATCTAGGAAATGCATAAATATATACATTGGCATAAAAATGACCTGGTTAGATGGTTTTTATGTAAACTAGCATTTCTGTTTAAACTGGACACTTACTTGCTGCTGCCTCCACCCCTCAGGCTTCACACAACACTGAAACGCTTATTATTTTAGTGGATTCTAAGTGTCATCTTTGAGCCAAACCATTGGTAGGAATTATGGACTATCTGGAACTAAAGTGTTGCCCAAGTTGCATAATAATAGCCTCTTCTGGGGGATAAAGAGGAGGAAAATGGGATGGGATTTTTGTGGGGGAGTTATTCAATCTAGTTAATTTCAGTAACTGGCTCATGTGGTTTAGGACTAGGTAAGAATCGAAAACAGCTTTCATGCTTTAACTTTTACTATGTATGGACAAAATGAAATATGAGAGGATGAACTCGTAAGCATATTTAACAGAAGAGTCAATTTGATTCACTTAACTGGAAGTAAGATTTTTGTTTTAGCTAGCTGTGTGTATACTTTGCAGGTGAACTGTATGTATTTTAAGATAGAAATTTGTTTGCATTCTGGTTTCTAAAAATTTAGAGTTTTAAGCCATTTGAATAGTGAGATACAAATCACAATGCGATCTGAAGTAATGTATTCCTAACAATAATAAAATTGGAGTTTAAAATCTGAATGAATAGGCAAGGAGTACTTAAATAGGCTGTGCTTCTAGCCAACAACAATATCAAGTTTAGGGGAAAACTTGCAGTTAGTTACAAATTAACATGTTTGGCTACTCTTAAATCAAAATTCAAAACTAAGCAAAATTATTTCTTTTTATGAAATATGATTTTGAATTGTTGAATTCAGTCACTTAAATCTTGGTTTAGGCCAGTCTGAGAAGTTTGTATTTAGGGTTGTAAATTTCAGTGAGAATTATGACTAAATACTGATGTTCAGAGCAGCAGTTGACCCAACTCTATAAAGTGGCAGCACAAGCCTAGGGTTTATGGAATTACCTTCGATACCAGATGAGAGCATAGAGGGTAGGTATCCTATACCTATAGGTGTATTAACCTCATGAAGTTCAGCAAGGCCAATTGCAAGGTCCTGCACCTGTGTTGGAGCAATCCCCGATATCAGTACAGACTGAGGGATGAATGGATTGAGAGCAGCCCTGCAGAGAAGGGCTTGGGCATACAGTGCAATATGCACTTGCAGCCCAGAAAGCCAAAGTATCCAAGACTGCGTAAAAAGAAGCGTGGCCAGCAGGTCCTACTCAGCTTCGTGAGACCCCACCTGGAGTACTGCATCCAGTTCTGGGGTCCCCAGTAAAAGACAGACATGGACCTGTTTTGTGGACCTCCGGGTCCAGCGGAGGGCCACAAAAATGATCCAGAGGGCTGGAACACCGCTCCTATGAAGAAAGGCTGAGAGAGTTGGGGTTGTCCAGCCTGGAGAAGAGAATACTCCAGGAAGACCTTGTTGTAGCCCTTCAATATATATATATATATAAGGGAGGCTTATAAGAAAGATGAGGGAGGCTTTTTACCAAGACCTATAGTGACAGGACAAAGGGCAACAGTTTTAAACTGAAAGAGGGTCGATTTAGATTGGACATAAGGAAGAAATTTTTTACAATGGGAGTGGTAAGACACTGGAACAGGTTGTCCAGAGAAGTTGTGGATGCCTCATCATTGGAAGTGTTCAAGGTCAGGTTGTACAGGGCTTTGAAATACCTGATCTAGTGGAAGATTTCCCTGCCCATGGCGGGGGGTGGAAATTGGTGATCTTTAAAGGTCCCTTCCAACCCAAACCATTCTATGATTCTTCTTTTATGAACATCTCATGTCTTCGTTTCCTTGCATGTTGTCAGTAGCGTGGCTTCCTGTCTTTCCTGATGAAGTGTTTAAAATCTTTTTTTTGTTGTTTTTATTTGGAGATATGGTGATATCAGCACGAAGAGTCAAATTTAGATCGTACCAGGTGCAAAGTACATACTGGGAGAGTTGCTGAGCCACAGAGATCTTGGGGGCGCTGTCTGCTTTTTTGTTGTTGTTTTTTTCCTTTTTTTAAGTAGCCAAAGCAGATGAGTTGCGGGATAGAGAAGGAGAGGAAAAAAGTGCAGTGGGTTAGTGGCAACGTTAGTATTAATAAAAAAAGGCTCTTGAAATCTCTATTACAGATGTGATTTGAAAGGTACTACAACACAATCTTAATTCAATTGTTTTTCTGGAAAAAAATAGATTTAAGAGGAGTTTTACAAGCTCTCTGGTATTGAAGCTGAAGAATTGAAGCTTTCTGAGACTAAACCTTCTAGTTTATGCTTTGGAGAAGGATATACTTTGATTAATGTCATTAAAGGTCATTCCAGAAGTCCAGTAAGAGCCAATGAATTGAATATTTAACTACCCAATATCTTTGATTCCCAAAATGTTTTGACTACAGAACCTGATGTGGAATTTAGTTTGGAACTAAATTCTAAAGCTGACTTTTACTGGATTTTTAGAATAGTTTTATGAATGTGACGCTTCTGGTCTCTTTGCTTGAAAATTTGTATGCAGCTTCCATATTATATGCAATGACAGTTATGCTTCTGTCTGTAATATTAATAGTTGCTATGCTGCTTTATTTCCTTAAATACTGTTAACTTATTTTTTGTCTGTTCTGCAGCAAAGGTGTGGTTTCAGAATGACTTTTACTGCGGTTTTCTTTCATGTTCCACTGTAGTATAAATGTAACAGGAATCTCTAGGATGTCTCTATTTTGAAGGACTTGAGCTCTGCCAGTAGAGGGCATACCCTTCTTCCATAATAAGAAATAGTGTGCTTCAGCACAGGGTTGTTGATGGATACCTTCCTGTGGGTCTATTGTAGTTAAGATGTATACTAAACACCTAGCTTTGTAGAGTTCTATACAAAGGTGCTTCTACATTATTTGCTAATGACGAATGCGTGATTTCTTTAGAATTTGTGTCTGCGGATATCCTCGCCAACAAGTGAGAAAATACAAGGGAGTCAACTGTAGGATTCCAGTTTCATCTGAATTCATGGTGCAAATGCTAACAGGGATTTATTATGCATTGTAAGTTTTTTTTTTTAATATATATGCATACAAAATAAAGAAATGTCAGCTTAATTTCTACACTCATTTAGGCATGCTACCTTTGAAATGTTTTATTTTCTAGTGGTCATATGCTGTGTCTAGCAATAAGGCCCTCAGGAAGAGAACATAGTTCTCCAAGTAGTTAGCTGGAGTTGCTGATGTCGTATTGGGGAAAGAGGGCTAGAACAGCACTTAATAGGTATAACTGCTGATGTGAAAAAACCTTCTGAAAAAATCTTTTAAAAAAACCTTTTTCAACCATTGTCTGCTGTCCGTATTTTTGCATGCTTAGTTTTGACATCAGTCTAGTTAAGGAAAAAAGGTCTTATCATTCTTTCTCTGAAATGCTGATGTCATTTACCCTTTGATAGTCATGTTAATGTGTAAAGCTCTCTTATTAACTGAAATAATTAGAGACTAGTAACACAGGAATACTCAAAAGGTGGAGTAATATTAAAACAATCCTGTTTGAATTTCAGAATATTTCATGACTAGCTGATCAGTAACTAATTATGTCATTTTTAAACTGCTCAGGGTGGCCAATGAAAATAAAACTTTGTCTCCATAGACGCTACTTCAGAACAAGTTCTCTAAATAGCAGGCTTACTGCTAATGAACACAAGTAGTTCAACTCCTCTAAACTGAGCTCTCAAGGAATACTAAATCTGTGAAGGTTATGTGATCAAGAAGGTTCATCTGTTGATATAGATGCTTATTACTATGTATATATTTACCTTTGTAGTTACAATGGAGAATGGGATCTGGCTCGTAAAGCTATGGATGACATTTTGTATAGAGCACAGCTGGAACTGTATCCAGAACCTTTGCTGGTAGGTGTTGTATTTCAACATTTTTTTGAGTAGAAATTTTAGTCTAGAAAATCCTTCCGATGAACGTGCATGATGTGACATCACACCGGGAACCTAAATCCCATGAGGTCTATGTGGCTGTGCTTGTGTGAATAGCTAGATCTGCAAGTACACACACACATGCTCAGGTATCTTCAATGTACCTAGTTATTTTGTCATCTTCCCTAATGAACAAGCTATTTTCAGTAGAACGCTTCTAAGTCTTGAAAGCTTGGATGATAGTGCAGAAGCATTCTGAAGTTCATGTTAAGTAATAGCCACATCTTTAAACTGGAAACTTTGTTTTAAAACATGGCAGGTTTTTAATGTAACTTAGTTCTGAGAGAGGTAGTTGCCACCAGCATTCTTTGTAACCCGTGAAAAAGCTAGTGTGCTTTTTGACCTTAAACTGGAATTGTACACAGTATTCTTCTGGAGTGATAAGAATCTCCTGATGGAATGCTGCTTCTAAAATTTGGATCTTCATGTTAAGAAATTAACTGCATCTTTTCTGTTCTAGGTTGCTAATGCAATAAAAGCTTCACTGCCTCAGGGTGCCATGAAATCTAGTAAAGAAGGTACAAGATGCATTCAAGTTGAAATTACACCTACTTCATCCAGAATATCAAGAAATGCCGTGACTAGCATGTCTATCCGAGGGCACAGATGGAAAAGGCATGGTAAGAAACACATTTTGCAATGAATTCTCAGCTTTTTACATGTGCTTAAAATAATATTGAGAATTTTGTTATTGCACATCTTCATTGCTAGTAAGCAAGCAGCAGTTTGGAGGTTTTTATTTTCTTAACTGGTGAATGGGAATCTTAATGCAGTTCAGATGAGGTATATTCTTTATTTCCTTAGTCATGATTAAAAAAAAAAAAACCCACCACATAAAAAACCTTTTCGTTAAAGGGAGCTGTACAAAGTTATTGATTCTTTAGAGGCCAATGTTCCTGTTTTCTTCTGAAAAGTAATGTATAGTACCTGAAGCAAAGCAAATATTTAACAGCTTTACTGCAGAATCTCATCTGTCTTAAATTACTTAAATAAAAATCGGATTTAAGGGTAGAGGGATAAATTACTATGTTTTGGTGTCGTGGTTTAACCCCGGCCAGCAACTAAGCACCACACAGCCACTTGCTTACACCCCCTGATGGGATGGGGGAAAGAATCAGAAGATTAAAAGTGAGAAAACTTGTAGGTTGAGATAAAGACAGTTTAAGTAAAGCAAAAGCCATGCACATGAGCAAAGCAAAACAAGGAATTCATTCACTCCTTCCCATCAGCAGGCAGGTGTTCAGCCATGTCCAGGAAAGCAGGGCTCCAT